TGAGTTTGCTCAGTTTCATGCTCATTGCTTCAGTGATGCTATCTAACCAATTGATATAGCTGTAAGGCTTTTAGGGTTTAAGCTCATAAAAAGAGATGCAGGCAGAATCAAGCCCAGGTGTGTGTAAATGCAGTCCTATAAAATAAGGTTGTCTCCACTATTATTTGTGTGCCTGACAGATGTTTATGCATCTTGTAATTTATAGAACGCAACAGCTTTACCTGAGTTGACCCATGTCCATTTTCATTCTCTGAACTGTAAACAGGAAGAGCTGGGACTGGACTAACTTGTAACATTGCGTATGAAAAAATATGTGGCCTTTCTAGGGACTTGCCGTGACTCACTTAGAAAACAGAAAAACATGAAATCTAAGAAAAGAATGACCTGAAGAACGTCACTTTTTATGTTTCAACAAATATTTTATTTCCAGGAGTCCTAATGAGAAATTTGGACCACATATAGTTGTGTTTAATTTACTGGTTTTTGAAATTGATTTGAATGTTTATAATTTGTCTGCAATAACATTTTGATTAATATAAAAGATGCCTTTCTCTGTCACATCCACCCAACCATATGTATGCAAAAAGGAAAAAAAAGCAGCTATAGAGATTGGATTTTTGTTATTATTGAAACTTTTGTCATTTAGCAAGTTCAGAACATATTGTTAGCTACTTTTGGAGAAAAGCTTTTCCTAAGATGATAAAATGTGCTGCAACATTTACTTTTTAAAAGAGTAAGGCCAGGGCCTAGTTTGGTTATTCATTTTGTCTCCTTGGAGGTGGAGATGTAACACTAGACAAATCAGCATCTGACCCAGTGAGGCTCTATAGCCATTATTTGCTGTATGCATTCTCTGCATGTGAATTTCAAATATATTTATTCAGTGTGGAAAAGAAAAAAAAAACCAATCTGAAACTGGGGGATAATTTGGATCAAATACTACACCCATTATATTGCCATGTTTCCTCCAGAGAGTACCTATAGCATCACCAAATCATCTGGTGCAGTCAAAGATGACATGTAGTTGGCTTAAACACATGCAGTATTTGGTACTGAAAACTCTATTTTATAGTAACGTTTGTATGTTCCCATTTTCTTCACCAGGTTTTCAGCCAGATGATGCAATGAATGAGATCTTCAAAACAGAATTTCAGATGAGATTGCTCTGGGGCAGCAAAGGAGCACAGGTCAACCAAAATGAAAGATATGAGAAATTCAATCAAATTTTAACTGCACTTTCACGAAAATTAGAGCCCTCTCTTACAAAGCAGACTGAACATAGAAATGTCTGATGGACTCTCAGCTAAAGAAAATTTGGTATATAATTATCCAAGAAAGCATTTTTTAAAAAAAAAGAAAGCTGTGGCAAATGTTGCTTATTCCTTATTTTCCCAAGAGCAAAGGCAGCCAAAAAATAATTCCTGAACAACATACTTCCTCAGGGATAGCTGCTACCTGGCCACTCCCTTTTATGCTGCTAGGGTGATCCTTTTTTAAAAAACTACACCCCCCCTAAAAAAACCCAGGTTCCAGGCCAATCAAAAATCATATAGCATCCATACCCAACTGAGAATCAGGGCAATGCTTCACGGATCATTAACTCTCTTATTCTGAATGGACAAATATACCCCAGATGGGGTGTGGAAGACCGGTGGTTATACTGCCAAAATGTTTTTGTAAGACACTTTCTTTGACATCAAGCAGAATTTGGAATTTGTAAACTGTATTTATGTACATTTATTTATGAATTGCCTAATAATGATTTGTGATTTATAAAGGATTATTTATTTGTTATGGTTGTTACCTTTCATGGACCCCCTCCTGTCCACTATAAAAAAAAGTGATGATCATTTTAGGACTTATATCCAATAATGTTATTAACAGTCTGTGATGTAAATATGAATAGAAGTTAAAGAAATGGCTCTTCAGGAGATATCAGTTGTATGATATCCCTTAAATAGATATGGAAAATTGTAAATATAGCTGTGGATTAAAGCATATATGTGAAACATTTTATGTCTTATTTTAGTATGTCAGTGAAACACAAAATGGTAACTTATTTGGGGATTCAAGATGTTAACTGTATCAATGTCCATATTCATGCTGTTAAGATATAGTAGCAGGATTCTGTACTCCTCTTTATTGGCTGAAGCTGCTGCCAAATATTGCTTGGAATATCATTACTAAAATTTACCTCCTCATTTACTTAAAACATTGTAAGTTTGCCCACTCCAATAACAGCTCAGCGTGGCTTATTGTAAAAACAATTGTGATTAAAAATAGTTAAAACAATAGTACATTAAACACTACAATTGTGAACCTTAAAAGCATTAGGTTAAAAAGCATGGCAAATCTATGTATATAGCAATCTATAAATGTGGTAACTAAAATTATATGCATCTATGTAGCAGGAACTTGGGCTGTCAAGGTCCAATGAATCTTACAAGATGCTGTGCAAAACCTACCCATGTGTGTTGTAATAAAATGGCAGTTCATCTATAAGTAGCGTCTAGGCATAAGCCGAATCTGAGCAATCAGGATATCTGCTGATCAGGAGGAGGATAAATCTGCTTTGTATGTTTCTATAAAAGGAACAACAAAGAAGTAGCTGTTCCGTGGTATCCCTCTCTCCAGAATCACAGGCCCAGAGCTTTTCAGCCAATGCTTCTTTTTTTTGTATTTGCCATCCCAAACTGCAGAAGAGAGAGCATGGTATCAGGCAAGGGAGAAAGCTTTCCTATAACTGGGTGTTTCTAGCTGTGTAAGATAGCTGGCAGCAATGACTATGTATTTGCTGATGACAGGAAGGCCAGAGTCTTCCCTAGACAACTAAGTCTGTTGGACAACATTTTCAGAGTCCCCAGGATACATGGTCAAAGATCTATTTTATATTCCACTCACTCACTTACTATGTTAACATTACAACTTGAGTCTTTCTGGTGCTTTCCATTGTCCAGGATTGTTGCCAACAACCTCAACAAAATTTTGTATTCCGGACTTGCAAAATTGAAACTTCTTGATGGCTCTTATCTGTAGTGGATGTAGATCATGTTTTCTATGGAGTTACTTTAAAAGTCATCAGGTACCTCTTGATGTAACAGACTCAAATCCAAATGTCTTCACAGTCAGCAGCATGGTGTGTTTTCTAGTGACTGATTCTATCCATACTACTTTATGTGGATTTAAAAAAAAATCAAAAAGCTTTAAAATTAATATGTTCATGTCTTCCACCATTGCAGATTTTTAAAAATAATTCTCTTCCCCACCCCACCTGCTTCTTAGAAGCAACAATTAGTGTAGGAATTACAGAATGAGAGTGATTTCACTGCTGGAGTTTTCACAAGCAATAATCGGTTAAGTGGCTATGACACCTGTATAAATTTCACCTAGTACTGTGCTACCAAACATGTATCTTATTGTTCACTGAGAGCTAAATTAGCTTTTTTAGGATATACATTTCATGCTGGAAATAGAACATCTGATTTTTTAAATTCTAACTATGCAGAAACTTGCTGTTTTTAACTGGTAACACATAAGTAGCAACCTATCTCAATTTACTGACTTTCCCATTTAAGGTTGTACACTGAGAGCACAAGGATACATCATGTTTTTCCCCCCCTCCCAATCAAATACTCAACAATGACTAAGGAAGAGAAACACATCTATCTTCCTCTTCGTACTCTGGAAGTCATGGTGAGCATGACATGAATTTGAAGACAGAGGAAACAAGCAAACTTAATAAAGGGCATTTAAATCCACCGTGGCCTGACCGGTCAACTGGAAAATGTGAAGCTTTTATTTTAATAAGCTAGTAAGGCAGAACAATAGTAGACCTTTTAGGACTGCTTTCCGATCTATGGCCGAATACTTTCCTTATCAATTGCAAACAGAGACCTTTTAATCAGCAAGGGGTATCTTAATCTACAGTTTCAGAATTCAAATAAATACCCAAATCTTAGGACAATGTTCACTTTTTGAAAACTTAAAATTATAAGTAGAACACAAAAGATCCAACTGGGATTATGAAGCGAGAGAAAAAAAAGAGAAAAAAGAATAAGAAAATGGGAAGAATAATTTCCATTTCACAGTAGTCTGAAATTTGAGACCCACTATGCTACAACTATGTAGGTCAGAAAAAAAACAATTCTCTAGGAATTTTGGAATACTTCCAAAAGCTCCTGTTTGCATATGTGCAGTTCCATCAGAAGCCACAATGAAGAGTTTTGATTCATCCTCTTCCCCAACTTTTCTGTGGCCGGCATTTGCATTGTGCAAGTTGTATACTCCAAATTTGTTTACACATACCAAACGTAAGAATACAATGCTTTGTTACATGGTTACTTAAACATGCCAAAAGTTCTGTTGTTTCTAAAGGTTCTTGTAATTAATAAACTTTAATGTAATCCCAGTCTGGATCTCTCTGCATCTTTGCCCAATTAGCTAGAGTATAAAGTGAATTGAAAGTCCAAGTGACAAACCTTGTAAAGAAATTAAGTAATCCCAAGGAATAATTCTGGATTGGGGCACTAACAGTGAGAAAAACATGGAGATTTATCCTTCTGGTACAACTTTTGCTCCCCTTCACCAACTGAGCATATTTATGACAATTTAAGCAAAACAAACGCCATCTATTATCTGCCTGCAACAGAAGACAAGAAAATTATCAGGGCCATGAAAAGATTGTTTAATTCCATGAAAATATTTTGAAGAGAACCACTATTATTTAACAAAGCATTTAAACATTTAAAAAATCAACACGTGCACAAAAGATTAAAAATTACTGAAAAGTTATGACTCAGACAATTAATTCTCAACATTTCAAAATAATAATTTTAGCCAACTGTGCAAGTACAAAGATTTTTTCTTCCCCTTACATTTAACTACCCTCATAAAGGATGCTTTATACCACAGAAAGTAAATATCCTCCTGAGGAAACAAATCCTGCCCTAGAAAAACAGTAGCACAAAAGAACAATTAGTCCTTTACTAGAAGTGTTAAAAGCAGCTCCAACTGGCTGTTAGCAAAATCCATAGGGTTCCTGGCTGAACGAGTGAGAACCTAATTGTTGTATTTAATTTTTAATTTTAAAATAAAAAGCCAGCACTAAACAAAGAACTATTCAATGTAGTTGGGTCAGTAATGGCATACGGTCGCATTATTATAAATAACCCTGTTTACAATATCCCAAAACTCTAACCTTTAGTGTTTTATCACCTTCAATGTAAATACACTATATCATCTGTGTAATAGTGGCACACGTAATAGTAAAAGGAAGAAATCTCCACACAAGAGTCACACAGATTTAGTTTTACTGATAGTACAACTGCTAGTAACACTGAAAAAAGTTCTAAAGGAATCCAGCATTGCTGTGTCCAAATATTGCTTTGATTCCCACCCTTAGAAAAAGCAGGATTTTAAATATTACCACAAACAGCAAAAAGCTGGTTTTATGAAGCTTAATTTAACTGTTTCTTTGTCCCTCCCACTTCCCTTCCCATATACTAAGATTACCCTATTTTGTTTAGATTTGATGTTTTCATTAACATAATTCACAAATGGCAGACAATTAACATGAGCAATGATGGGGTGCTGCAGACAACTATATTTACATGTATAAACATGTCCAAATCGCAATGTTTACAAATAAAAGTGCACATAGGTCATTACAAAGTATCACTCCAATTTTTAACTGGTCCTTACAATGAAGCATACTTGGAAACAGACGAACACTGCAGTTCATTAAAAACTGGTGTCTTCCCCCATCCCCAACTCAAAAAAATAGACAATTAAAAAAAGGCTCCATAAAAATCCTATTAAAAACATTCATTAGACATAAAACAAAATTGATTCATGTACTTTGTTTTCAATGTGTCACATTCACAATGCACCTTGTGTTATAGACTGGTAGAGATCTAGAAAACATCTACCATTGGCTACCAACAGCTGCAGAACTGTAGAAAGATTCAGGAGGTCATACAGAGCTGAGACCCAATAGCCCTTAGCGGGATACTGAAGTGGTAGTGTTGGCAATCAACGATTTAGGCACTCGAGAGTTTAAGGCAGCATCTGAATGACAAGCACTTGATTTCTGAAAAGAGTTGGTTGTCTTATAGCGGCAAATCTGTGCTCTTATTATCCCAGGATTTCAGTGCTCATGAAAAAGTATTGAGGTGCTGATAGGCTGGAATGGCCTAGTGCTGAGATGTATTCCATTCCCCAAAGCAGAATGAATGCTAAGTTCACAGCCTGTGTAACTCCAAAGAACTGGAATGGTCACAATGAAGGAAAAAAAAAAATTACAGCGACAGAAATGGGTAGGGAAATAAAAAACTTTAGTGCTGGAGGTTGCTACAAATGCAGGAGAGGGAGAAGAGCTACGGAAGTACAAAACATTAGGCAGACATGCCTGACGCGTATCTAGACATGCAGGAAAAGGTTTAGGGCGAGCATGGAGGTGGCACAGGCAGAGACTGTCAATGACATGAGTTTGACTGAATGCTGATTTAAAATGGATATATGGAAAGGAAGCAACTGAAACAGCCAATATAAAATGCAAGTGGTAAACAGCTATAGTGTTTCAGAACTTCAAACTATGGAAAGGGTATGTTTTCAGATTGGGTTGTTTGGTTCTGTTGGAATGGAGTTTTAGCTTACCACAATTTTGAACACACAGAGAAATGCTAACATTGTTAGTGAGAAACATATGCCTACATGCTTTCATGCAACTGGCTTTCCCCCCATCTTGCTGGGCCTAACACCCTCCCCCAAAAAGCAGCTGCATGTAACCTCCTTCAACATCTCGCCCATTTTCTCAGAAACCCGCTTCAGGAACCTGCAATCCGAGAGGAAAAAAAGAACAGAACAGAATTACCAGGGGCCATTCAAAAAAGAGAAGCATAGTCATTTAAAAAAAAAAAATCCACCTCAAATTATTATGGTTATACTAGATAATGGCTCAGATCCTTTGCAAGGGTTCCCCACTTCATACTTTCTGGATAGAAGTTCATTCAGTAGCAAATTAGTGCAATTTAACTTCCAAATGTTCCCTAGCATCCCAGTGAAAATGTACAAGCATAAGCACAAGTAATATAAGTTAGAGCATTCCGATTCCAATCATATGATACCACAGATTAACATCCTGATAAAATGTTCTGTTCTGGGCATGAAAACGTTTCCACATACAAAGACCTTACCCGTTCATTTTAACAAAAGGAACTGATCTGCATTTATTCCTTTGTGCACTTTCTATTGGAATGAATGGAACCAAGTATAAGAGATCTGTAGGAAGCAGTTGTAACTTTTCTGTGCTTTTTGAAGAGACAATTAACAAGAGAAGTATGTCAAGTGTTGGCATGAGAGGCGGGGACTCTTCAATTGTATATACATAAAACATATACAAAATCCCCAATACGAGAAAGAGCAAAAAGGAGTAGATCATCAAGCTGAAGGGCTGCTATACCTCTTGCAACTCGCTGCATTTATTTCTAGGAATCTAAGATCTAATTTAGAAAGGAAAAGCTGCAAAAAATACTTGCAGAACAGGAATGTTTGTAAGCCTACATTGCAACTCCCTAGGTTCCACTACATGGAGGTAATGGCACGCACCCTTGTAACTGAAAGTTTTCTTTTATTTCTGCATAACCTTACATTGCATTAGACTGCAGGCTGTTCTTACAAAATGTGTCCAGTGCATAAATTAGCACAGGGCAATGAGAAGAAGAGCTGTTGTTCAGAAAATAAAAGTTAAAGCTGACCTTCATTTTCGTTTAATTAAGTTTAGCTATTACTTGGACACTGGAACGAGCTCTGGTGTAGGATAAAAATGGATTGCCCAGAAATGGTATACCCTAAAGCAATGAAACAATTCATTCTAAAATAATAATGTTCTTTTAAAAGGAAGAAATAAACTTTACAAGAATAACATTAAAACTATGAAAACCAATAAAATATGACCTGACTGTGTACTGAAAAAGAACACTTCAAAGCCCAGAAGTTAAAAGCACATGGAGAAATTAAACAAAGATGGCATTGATCACAGCCACAGAACAATATAAGTTATATGCAGACGTTTTCCAGTTTCAAAACTGAGATCTTAGTTTGGGCTCCTGTGGTAAATCACATATTGCAAAGACTCCTAAATGGTTTTATACTTTTCCATCCAATTATGTGCTTCAGTATTCATTAAGGAATGTTCATGGATAAGGTGATGGACTGGAGATTATATATAGGTTACTGCACCTTTACTGTTTTTTTCTAGAGTTACATCTATGTAGGAAGTTGGCACGTATCCTTCTTCTCCATTCTGCCTCCGAGCTCTTGTCCATCCATCCCCTTTATCTTCCTCTATAATATACAAAACCTCTCCTTCTTTCATTGCAAGGGTACCTTCATTGTGACCTGGGAGGAAACAAAAAGAAAATGTCTAGTTCTTTTTTTTCCCCTTGCAGGATTTAAAGCTGGTTTCTTTCTCAGCACTCATTTTTCATTCGGGGAAGTGGGGATCAGTTCTCTGCAGTGGAACATATGTTTCAAATGTAAGCCAACAGACAAAAAACTGGTCTCTTGTTGCAAAGCTGAACACATGCCAATGGCTGCTTTTCTAATCTAACATATTTATTTTGTTATAATGCAGAAGTACTATTGCCATTAAACAAAAACGACTTATGGCATGATTTCCCAGAACTTAAACCAGATGGCTATTATAATAATTTATATACAATTATATTTAGAAATGATAAAAAAAACTATACATAAAGACACACACACAATGTTATGTGTATGTGTTTGTGTGTGGTTTGGTTTGTGTGTGTATACACATGAACAGAGGATTGTGCACATACACCAAGCCTGGAGTAAATGTTTTGAGTGTTCTATATTGGACTGAGCATTCCAATGTCCTATAACTGGCTGGATTAAGAAAACTGTCTGCACATTAAGAAAAGACTCCTATCTGCCTGACTGATATGTTTACTATTGTCTTTGATATGGAGAGGCTTAAGGTCATGGGTTGTACTGTAGCATTTATCTTGGGCAATGCTTTCTTAGATGGATTGTCAAATGACTAAGTATGCATTATGCATATTATTACAGCTAGTAATGCTATGATGTTGAGCTTTCCAGTTGCCAAATGCAAAAAAAAATGTTCACTGAGCTTTTCAAGTAGGTTGAAAAACACAACCTTACCAAATATACTATGCATTAAGAAGAAGCCTCCAGCCAATAACCAAAGAAGCCAGTATTTCTGTAGCTTGGGTAGGTGGAGGATTCAGCAGAGACTAACCCTACTTTTGTGGCAAATCAAAGGCCTTGCTTTGAGTTCCCATTGTTCTTATAGTGTAAACATTCCAACACTACACATCTTCTTTTGTTGAACAATGAAAACACAAAACGTCCTGATGAGTATTTTGTTTCCATTAACTACAGGAAAATGTTTCTGGAGCTAAGAAAAAATGTTTTATTCATTCACATTTATCCTATATACAGACTTAAGTATATAAAATTAACCTTACCATCAAAAGGATAGATAGCTTTACAATGTCCTATAGCCGGCAAAGGATCATCATCTTCAAACTCATCATCAAATTCATTATGAGGGCCATGCTGCTGGGGTGGGCTTCGAACTTCTTGGTTTGCATCATCAGTATAGCTCCCTTCAGGACTACAATATAATAGATAACACAAAACATCTTTGTAATTTCTCTAACCAAAAGTCTCATAGATTTCTCATAAATTAAAAAGAATCTCAGAACATTTTCAGATTTCATTGCAAATCATGTACCTTTGTTGAAGTAAACAATGCTTGACAAACCCATCATACACTTGTTAAATGTTACTGACAAATACAGGCAGGGGCTGAACTTTACTGCAGACAGAAAATAAACTGGCCTTTAAAAGCAAAAGCACTTGTTCAGCATATCAAAATATAGAACATTAGTAATGGTACTTTAAGTGCACTCCGTCTACTGGAATAAAATCATGCCTCTCCTGTTACTTCTTCTTTTGCCTCCCTCCACCACACATGGTTACAATAGTAGACAAAAATAACCATACACATTCTTGTTTAAACTTTCAAAGTGAAAGAGTCCATAATCTTTAATCCCTGCTTTACTTAAAATAGAAAAGCAAACAATTTGCTTTCCTAAAAAGCTTATTTTTTCCATTGCCTGCTTTAAAAAGGGTGGAATGTGTAGGAGTGTGTTTTACTTTTTCAATGTGCTTTGCCTGAATAAGCAATCCTTAGCTCACAGTTTCAAACTTGATACCCATCAGCTGCAATATAATGAAGAGAAGCGTATTTATTCATTAGCAGTAGTCAAGCAAATCAAACTGAAGAATGGTAGAGCTTTTTTTGTGGGGGGGGGAGGGTGAGAGGGTTGGGAAAAGGAGAACTATATGAAGTTGGCTAAAAGCATTTGAAGTATAATGCTGAAGGCATTTTCACAAGTGGAGCCTTTCATTCTTCTAGTTTCGTGAACACTTGTTATGATTTGCGATACATATATTTAACATTGCTTTCTAAATAATCATTCTTTCTGTCTATCGAGACACATGCATATATCTCTTTCTTAAAATATTACAGTAATTTTTAATATATGAAGGAAATCAATCAACTAAAAATGTAATTGTATTATCAAAGCAATATTCAAGGTTAATATCTCCAGATATGTATCAACATGTAACAGAAAAGATATTAAAAGAAAAAATCAGGGTTGGGGAAGCTACTAAACATTGGAAGTGGCAGGTACTTCCTTCCCCAATCAGAAAGTTCAACAAAACTGGGGATACATAAATAAAACTTCTTGTAGCATGAAGATTTAATGCAAAGTTTCTCCCAGATGATGAGACAAAAAAGATCTTGTGAAAAGATAAAATGTCCCAACTATGGTTGAAAGTTACCCAAAACATGACCAAAGACAACAGCTTTACGTATCGCATATATTTTCAGCTTTAACAACCCCTTTTGTATATTTTAGTAAAGTGATAGGGGTCTCATTCTCCTTTGCCAAAGGCCTGGGTGACAAGCCAGATCTTCATGGCTCTTCTCAACAACAGCAGAGTGGGGGCCATCCAGATCTCAAGGGAACCTCATTCCAGAGGGCAGGTGCTGCTACAGAGAAGGTGCACTTCTGGTAGAACAATGCAAGAAGGCACTTTGCAATCCACAGGAACATATATGGTGCACCTCTCTTCCAATAATTAAATCAGCTATGTCTTCTAAGTATGTCTTAGTGGGGATGCATAGACAGTCAGAAGAGAGATGTTCTGTACACGTTCCTGCTGTTGCAAAGCACCTCTTTCAGAGGATTTGCACTGCTCTATATTTTAGCCATATCAGTTACAGTTGCTAGATTACTTGTTTTAGAAATCTACTTTGCCATCTTCTGGCACTTCAGATTAAAAAAAGTTTAATATAGTGACCTCTCTCTTCCTTGGGTTACAAGATGGTTGATGTCACTGCTGTGCCTTCGGTCTCCTCTTGTTGCTACTTTACCTTCAACTTCAGAAAGCCATGCCTGAAGAGAGAGAGAAACTGGTTACTTGTGCCAGCATGAAAAATAAAAATCATGCTCTCCTGTTCAAGTTATCTTAGCAAAAGGTTCTCCCTTTTATAAAGCAGACAGGGCCAAGCAACCATAGTCACTTTGTCAAAGGGAAGGGTCACCATCTCACCTAAAGAACAGAGACCATAACTGTGGGGTCTTCAACGTGCACCCAGGATACTTCTGGAACCTCTAGGCTGTACTTCTTAAGAAGCTTTAGGTTGTTTTTAAGGTTTTTTTTTAAAAGGAGACTGGCATACTGCAATGAAAATTGACAGCCTCCGACATAATCTTTAGGGATCTAGTTATGCATTTGGTTCCATATGGGCCTTACAGGAATACTCATAGGCAGATAAAAATTTGGAAATATTTCTTTCTATCCAGGAGAAAACAGACAAATGTAACTTGGGGGTGATAGGGAAAAGAATGCCAAGGTACATTAAAAAAATACTAAAGGGAGATAGAGAATTGAGAAGGAGCGTTTGACTTGTGTTGCGGATACACAAACATGCATGTATGGTCGAGGGAAATAAATGTTTAGTCCAGAATCAGTTCTGTGTTCAGCTATCATGAAACCACCACTTATGAACTCTATCCAACTAATATCCAACTTATGAACTAATATCCAACACAGTTAAATTCATCACCATTTGAAACTAGTCAAACTATACTTTGCGACTGTCCTTGTCTGCTTCCCAAACTTCCAATTTCATTTAAGAATTAAGCTGACCTAATATACTCCCCAAAGTGTGTTATTTTACAATTGGGGCAGACTTATATTAATAATATAATAAAACTGAGTCCACCAAAATATTTTTCTAACCAAAGTACTTCCAAATGTTCTATTATGTAAGAAAACTTACAAACTCCTTGATTTAGTATAGGCCTTGAATATTTTTAGGTATCCTGCAGGCAAAACCATCCACACAATTATCACCAATTATTGTTGCTGCATTTAATTGGATTAAAACATTACACCTAGCTGGCTAAGAAATGGAGGCTGCTGCAATGCTGCAGCAAAGACTGCTTTGCCTACTTTCATTTGAATGCCTCTTTGGAACTTGGAGAATGCCTTGCTTAAGAGACGGTGAAAAGTTGTACTAATCCTTGTCTGAAACACTATCCAATGAACAGATTTTAACCTCATTCTTGTGGATTTCCATTCGGAGACGGTCCATGTTGTTCATAGTTTCCATTAATTTTGGCTGAAGACTACCTGGATCACCCATTTGTGGATTTTTCTCATACACATCTTTCATTTTGATGAGGGCATCTCTATAGAAAAATGCAATTGTTAGGAGTTCATCATTAGGAGTTACAAGGGAAAAAAAATTATGCTCAACAGCCTGCCTCCATTTATCATTATTTGTGGAGAAAGAGAACTGATTGCATACCAAAGCCAAAATAACTGAACTAGCTACTTATTTGTTATTGTGATACTTCAATTTATTAATCTGTGAATTCACACAAATGGGTTGGAACTTTCTATTGCTTCACAGATCTTGGCAGGAACCTGTCCCCTTTGCGTATCACAAATGCCCTTTGGTGTGGCATATGGCACCTGCTAACCTCAGTTCTAACAATATTCAAAATCAAAAGATGTGTCCAATCCTAACAGAATCCAAAGCACAAAAATGGAGTAAAATTCTGAATTCATAGATGATCATTTGAAGACCCACAGTTACCTTCAGTTTTTGTGATTTGTACATATGGGTATGCCTAGGTTTATTTGGTCAGAAGTGGAATCATTTTTTTTTTCTGAGTTTGCTTTGGGGCAAGTAAATATATTTTAAAATCTTGCAGTCATCATCCCAAGATGATAAACATAGAATTTTATTGTAATAAGATTTTATTTTATATAGAGGTTACCTCCTCTCTTACCAGTTCTTTTCTGGAATGACATTATTTTACACATGGATGAGATTATTATAGTTTGTCTCTCATTTACTCAGATGATTGTTGGATTATGAACAATTAAAATTCTGTCAAACAATAACACTGTATCAACAGATAGTACAGGCTGTAAACTGTTCCTGTTCAGAGGTACATTGACACTTATTACCATTACCACAAAGATTATCCATGTTTTTCTTTGATTTTCTATATACTAATTATTTTTTTCTTTCCCTATTTTTATACTCTATAATTGTCAATTCCCTCTCTCCACTGTTATCTTCTTTCTTGCCACATTCCCCTAAATGCTTAGAATCTAAGCATCTAAGCCTTAGATGCTAGTTATCAGTTAACCCTTTCTTTGCATTCTACCCAAACAATAAACTCCCATTTCTCACATTATCTTTCTAGAAATAAAAGTTGAGCCTTAGTGCTACATAAGGTGGACTGATATCATTCAAACTCTATAAATGTGAATCTCACAGATCACAATGAAGAACCAAAATTCTAAATACTTAGGAGGGTTTATGATAAATCAAATTAAACTGATGCTAGAAGTGAATGAGTTTCAAATTGTAGGTAGAGAAAAATAAAATTAGCATCAAGAGTCAGAATAACATAAATACTTTTGATCTGTCTCTTTCTGTAATTCTCTGTTAAGTTCATCAATCCGCTGCTGCAGTTTTTTCCGCCTTTGTTCTGGTGGCAGGTGACTGAAATCTTCTTGGGAAGGACCCTAAAACCAAAGAAAACACAACTTAGAAATGGCAGCTCTCCCACTGATACTTCTACTGATAGTTTAGACAAATCCAATAGTACTTCTTTGCTGAATAATACAGTAGAATGAAACTGTTTATCTACTTCAACAATGCTGCAAACTATGGCTCTAGAAAAATACATATATAATATTGAATTTGATACCCTGATGACCTATTGTGACCTGCTATTTCAAAGTGACAATCAAACAATTTGCAAATGGATGCAGTGGATTACTATGTTCTGTCTCAATGTGCTTAGAACAGAGTATAACAATATTCTTCCTTATTACAAACAACAGAAGAAAAGATAATAAGCTTAAGTTATAGAAAAGGAAATTGATCCAATAAAAGGATCGTAATGCATTTTCTTTCAATTTTGGAAATTATTTGAAGTACAAAAAAATAAATAAATCCAGAAATGATATGGTTTCATTAAACTATTTCTCGCAGTACCATCCAAAAAGGCTAATATAGACAGAATGCATACTTTGGTTTCTCTTGAGATCATATAAATGTTTTGCCATTTTCTAAAAAGATTTCTCTGAAAATACATAAACCTAGCACCCTGATAACTACAAACAGCAAGTTGGGAGCCAATCTCAGGAATGCATACTCCTTTCCCAAAGCAAAGCTATATTTCACCTTTAATTGTTGTTAAGCAGTAAATTTGTGCCAATGTCAACCATAAGTAGTTAGATGTTTTACCCAGATTTGAAATGTTAGTTTAATATAAGAATACTTGTATGTGTTGAGAACTTTTTTAACTGTGATTATAGTGTAGGGGAAATTTGTGCCAACAAGTTTTCCCTTAATTATTTTATTTGTAAATAAAACTAATATTGGTAAAGCCGGTGAGCACAAGAGTGAATGCCACAACAGCATACATTAAGGACACTCCTATTTTGGTTGTGTAATTCTTGGCCTGATAATAGGTCTTCACAAACCCATTCACCAGTGGTGAAGGTCCTTCTTTAGCACAAAAGAGATTTCTTATGAAGAAGAGCTATCAGTGAGCTTGGAAGTGGGCAACCTCATGCCTCACTGAAACATGTTGGAAACTTCTCTCACAGGGAAGCTCTCATGCCAGAGTTTAGATCAAAATAAGTTCTCTGACAGAAAACCAAGAACAGCACCACCCCAAATCTGCAAACCATAGCCACTTCCTTTTAGCCTCTATTTGTTTAGCTGAAGAACATGAGAACAAATTAATTTCATCATGATATATTTTGCTCTATTTTCTGGAAAGTTTGATTGGTTGCAATATACCCCTAAATCAAGTTACTTGGCAGTAACTCAGACTGAATTTAAATAGAAAACTTGGTTTTTTACCTATAAAAAATTACTTTCCAAATCGTCCTAATATATTGAAGAGAATACAAGCAATTTCTATCACATTCAGCACTAGTTGGCTGGGAATATAATTAGAAAATCCCAAGCTATAAACAATCTGTTTCAAAGAAAAGATTCACAAATCCACCTACTTGAACACATGTGATTAACAATTTAATAAATTAACTATAGTACTCACTGATTAATTACAATCCAAACAGGAATTTACAAGTCTGTGTTTTTATGGTTTACCATCTGCTTAGAGAAGCTAAACAATCAGGCTTATTAAGTCCATCTTCCTACATAATTTCATACTAATTTTTCCAGATCAATAGTTTTGCTGTATGCATTTTTTCAGAACAGAGTGTCTAGTGAAGTTCCGATATATAATAATGTTAAAACATAACAATTTCATATCATCTTATATTCAATTATTACAATTTAACTGATGTTACTGGTGTTCTTTGCCACTTAAAAGCAGTTTTTGATGGGAATTTTTTACTCTTATATAATGTTTTTATTCTTAAATGTAACACAGGAAGCATTTATCATGTGCAAAGAGTATCCCATAAGAGCTAGGGATACCCAAATTTCTAAGAAATTGAATGGGATTAGGACCTGAATAACTCAGAAATTTCTACAAGAATGCTGCCTTTCAAACTAATTTCAGATAAAGGTAGCTGCCTTCAGTACAATAAGCAAAATTTGTTTCTAGCCTTTTCAGTATCATTTCTACTGAATTCTGTGTAATTTTCTGTCAAAGAATTAATATACAGTAACTGTCAGGAGCATATGCAGGGATATGTCAGACAAAGCAGTCTGACAGAAGCATCATGTTGCAAGCCCTGCCACTTTTGTGCGTACATTGTGATGTTGTACACATGTCCAAAGGGGGCAGAATTTGCAGCAGGATGTTGGTTTCCTCATTTTGACCAAAGCAGCAGGAGGCTGTGGATCTTACAGTAACATTCATTTATGGAAATTATGTTTCATACTTTATCAGTTGCAAAGATAGCCGAAATCATATTCACACCCTCCCTTCCTTTTTTCCAAGTCTATGAGGCACTTTTATCAGCAACTCTTTTATATTAAATGGTAGAATTCCCTGCTGATTCACAAAATAAACTAAAACATTATGCAGTATTATGATTGTGCATATTATTAAGTTTTAATACTGTTTTACTATTAGAGTGATACTCTCTAATATTTCTTTAAATATTAGTAAATTAAACTCAAAAATGAAGTTTCATTTTTCACTACTTCCATAATAACATTAAATGTTTAGAATTATCTTGATATATTTAGATATTGTTTTAAATTCATTTTTTAAAACTTGCAAATGATGTAAATAGAACATTAACTCAAAATTGGTAGTAATAGATTTAGTATGTTTTTTTTTTACCAATCCTGAATACAATATGACTAGTATATGAAACTGCGCTGAAAAATATGTTAAGGACATTTTTTTCTGATTAAGTCAACTTTGGCAAAGATTTTCTAATGTTATGTTAATGAAAAGGATGATGGATTATTTTATCACCAATGAACCAGCTTTACATCACTTCTAAATAATGGATGAAATCCAATGTAATGTAAGTAGAAGACCTCTTATGCAAAGCTAATTTTTCTCTTCCCTAAATCCTGTTGTATGCTTCATCTATTATCTCCAAAATCTTCAGAGCACCATTGAAGGATGCACCAGGGCTGTAAGGGCCCCTGCTTACAGTATTGTGGAACTGGATGCAGAAAATGGAGTTCATCCCCAAATAATTGCAAATATTCAATAATTCAAACAGAACAACTCTATGACACACAAGACTGATTTTTCCTGTGGACCCAATTTTATACATTTTGTGTAGAAAATGGAGCTCAAGTAGCTCTAGGTAAAATTATTCTCATTTTATAAAGGCAATGTATAAACACATCCTACTTTAACTATACAATCTATAAAATAGCAGGAATTTGTTTTGTTTACACCAAGCACAAATGGATTATGAGACAAAGGGACAAACAAAAGTATGTACAATCTGACTAACTGACTCAAAGCAACTATGAAATGGATAAGCTATTATCATGCTGTTGTTACGAACTACAGCAGACAGATCAGCACACAGGCCTTACCGTCTTCATCGACCACTGACCAGTTTAGTTGAAAACAGAAAGAAACAGGAAATTATTTGCATACTACCAACCAGTATTTAGGAAGATTTCTAAATATAAAATATCCACCCCATTCCAGCTTCTCTGGCATATATTCAGATTAGCTGGAATGATTACTCAGAAGCAATTCCCACTGAATTCACTGGGCTTTGCTACCAAACATACATAGTACTGCATTCCTTATTATGAAGTGTCATACTTTTATGATCATGTTAGGCATCATCTAAAGTACTTCAATATGTATACATGAAGGTTACAGGCACCTATGGTTTAAAACAGAAGCAACAGTCTAACAGTTTAGAAGTACACTATAAACTTGCAATTTTAAATAAATATTATCTATTTCTACACTGTTAAAAAAAAAAAAAGCACAGAGGAACATTATACAGTGCAGAAGCATTTGACAATGGCAATGATCTTTGTTTACAGTCAAAATCTAATTTAACTGAGAACAAAATGGCAACATTTAAATAAAGCTCCTAAATTCTGAGTCTCATGCACTTCTCCCAGTCCTTCTTAGCTAGATTTATCTTTATGGGAAAATAGTGGAAACCAGGTCATTCAAGTGGACATAAGAATATGAAACTTAAATAAATTAAGCCACGCATTCATAGGATTCCCACTACTGTTTTAAAAAAACAAAAGCACTTAAATGAAATTATAAAAATGTTGTGGCAACTGAACTGGAGGGTTTTTCTCCAAAAGACTTTATTATTAGTGGAGAAAGGGATCCTGGGATATTCTTTCTTTAAAAAAAAAATTTTTTTTTTTCCCTTTGCTGAAACACAGTAGAAAAAAATGTTAAAAGCCAATCTGTTCTTAATTAACAACCATATATTAGAATAGAAGTATCTGGTTGTGGTCCCAATAGATGTCACATGCATCATGGTGTCATGTTGCCCATTAAATTAATGGTGTAATTTATGTCAGTCACACCCTGGCATCATGACACAAATGACATATGCTACATAATTCATGTCATTAATGTGATGTCATTTCCCCCTTTTGTGGTTGCCAATGTATCAACATGAAAGAATTAAATATACTAAAAAATACTTTATAATGCCATGCTATGGGATTTTGCAATATATTGACCTAAACTTTGCACAATGCAGTTAACAAATCCGAGGTCAAAAGCAAAATTAACTATGTGATACACTGACCCCTTCTCTAAGTTTAAAATAAGCTTGGAGTACTGATTTAGGAAAACAAATGGAAGAGAAAAACACTTTGGAAATCAGGTATTTTTCTATCAGCTTCCATACAAGAATATATAACAACATTGGCATTTAACTCCAACTAGATTAGCACAAATATTTCATACTTATTCATCAATATGTTGGAGGGGCTGCAATCAGAATTTTTCATATATGGTGGACTTGTAAAAAGACAATGCCTTAATGAAAGACAATATTCAAAGAAGCTATAACAACTGAACAGAAAAACAGAATGTCTTTCAGAGTTGGAATTATTACATATTTCTGAGGGA